TACAAACCCGATCAAACTCGTTTCACCCAAGGTAATTATAGTTTAGCAAGTTCAAAATTGATTATCGGTACAGACGACTTACACTCCACTGACGGATCATCGAGATTATAGCATGTCAACTCTGCATGATCCGCGACCGCGAGCAAAATAGTAATCCGCGGCGCCAGTGTAGCAGACAATTAATCAATCATTGAAAACAGATCGTGCTAGACCGCGTGGAATCGGTATTAACCGTTCGAACTGGCATTCTCGTGGGCACGTAAAGGGCCTCCCATGCCATACGCGTTATGTGCCCCTATTAGAGATAGGTACGCGAACACACGTACGTCGAAATCCAGCACGGTCAGAGAACGTAGGCGCATAATTCGAAGTGCGTGACCGACTCGTGCACGGATCGCCCGCTAATTAAGGAAATTGTTGGCATTACGTTGGCGCGAACGGATGTTGTCTCCTGGCAACCAGACTTCGAAGCATCTGGAATCGGTTCCGCTCGCAGAAAATTCATTTCCGTTGCTCTCGCCCCTTTTTGATTAGACCGTGGATCCTAATGGAAAATAAAAATTGTCTGTAGCAATTACAAGACGTATTGTAGAAACCAAACGCAATCTTGTTTCTCTCTTAAATCATTTTAATAAGTTGCAATGAAATACTTTACATTTTTTCTTTAAATTTGTCTATTTTATAAACGCATGAAATATTTATCTCTACAAATACAGTGACTGTCGCTTAAAATTGTCCATCTAGGAATTCAGCCGATTTTCACTTATAGAACGTGATAATTGTACGAAATGTAGTTCAATACCTCTTTATTTAATATATGTATTACAACAGAGTGAAACGAAGCTTTCGATAATTATTAGCAAATTAAATAAAATTTAATACGTACGCAACTAGCCCATCGGTAAAAATCGTGCAGTACATATTTTCAATATACGAAGCTTATATTAATATTTTATACGATATCCGTGTGCATTTTCAGCACATTGTAGTCACCGCGAGGAATCGATTCGATTAAATTTTCGCCAAATTGGGATGATTGGGACGAACGGTTGTTACTAACCGTAAGAAAAGACAACCTTGGAACGATGCAACAATAGAATCAAACGTTTCCGAGACGAGCGTCCAAACAGTTTCGATTCGGACCAAAACGGCAATGGAAATGCGAGAGAGACTCGGGTTAATCGTAGTTATCGCTGTTTCAGCGATAATCGAATCGTCTAACAAGGCTGTATGCAAAGTCATCGTAAGCCCTGTCCTCCGTGTCGTTAAGTATTTAGTGGAACGCTTCCGGTAGCCGCCGATGCAACTTGCGACACTTGGCAGCGTTCCAATCGGGTGAATGTCTCTCATAATCGTTCCGGGAACGCTCTAGAGAGTACATTGTCTCTAATCTGCAAAACTTCCGGAGTAACTTCCCAGGGAAGACTGACTCGGCTGGATGGATTTGGTCCCCGAGCGACGTTTTATGACGCTGAGTTGAGCGGACAACTGTAGTTGCAAGGGAAGAAGTCGAAACCACGGGTAAACAGGCCGAAACTAAGCTTTCGCGTCGAGAATTTCTGCGATAGAGTTTCGCGAAGTTCGTCGCTTTATTGCGATCGGAGAATAATTGCGGCTCTGTCGCGCTTTCTTTCGAGCTATCCAACTTTCTTCCGACTTGCGAATCGAATAAAAGATGATTCACACACAGTCAGGCTGAACATAATTTTTGTACATCACGTAAAATAAGTATCCGGCATTTGTAAATAAAAGGCAAACTATTTAATTGTTCATCGAACTATGTTTCATCCGAGGCGATACACGCACGCCAACGATTTACATTTCGGTTGAGAACAAGCAAAACACAAAAAGAAGCATGCTATTGTATTATATTCGAGTGATTAAAATTGGGTATTCGGTTGATTAAAGTTATATGGAAGTGATTAAAATTGTTACAGAAAAATATTAACAAAATTATTACGCCTCCGTATTGTAAATGGCGCGCGCGGTTGATTCTAGCAACAAAGATACAGTGCCAAGGAGATTTGCTTCTTGTATAAGACACGTTTCCATATCGAGCCATTCAACGTGTCACATAATAATTGAGCTCGAGAAACAACTCGAACCGTCGACACAGTTGGGAGAAGAAGTTTCTCGCTGTCCATGTAAGCTAGAATATACCGTAGTATCTCTATTATAGTAATAAACTATCTAACAAGCTGTAACACCGCCACCTAATGTATGACTGCTAATGGATCATAATTAACGGCGGTTTCCTAACGAGATAGCGCGATACACGAGAGTTTCCAAGTTCTATGCAGTAAATGAACGTAACATTTCTGCCAGATACGATGACGTTGAAACGATAAAAAGCAAGTACGCTCAACTAAATAGCCTGTCGCAGCGATTTAAACGGGACTGGACGTAATTCTCACCCTGCCTGCGGTTGAAGAAAAATTATATGTCAAATTGTTAAACTATTATGCCATTTGAAACCGTGGATTTACACGAAAACATCATCTGCCACAATTTCAAAGAATGTAATAATAACGAAATATAATTTGCGTACTTGTCACAGATAAAAAATCATGAAAACAAATTCGATAGACTTAAAACGATAAAATAACAAAGAAATACTACCGATACGACGAAGCGTTGGTTGTGACAATTTTCGTGAATACATATCACGTAAATTCATCGAATAAGCGGATATTGGAGCAAAAATTAGCGTCGTACCGGACTTTTTAAATTTCTTGCTCGTTCTACGTTTATCGATTAGAGACATTTACCAGAAAGACGTTTCGCAAATACGCGACCGTACCTCTGCTATTTCGTTTCTGCGACATTCACCCCTAACGAACCTGGAAATTGATCGGAGTCATTATTTACGCCTGTAGATACCAGCTAGTTCTGATAACAAGATGAAGCAGCACGTATTTACATGCAACGCGGTTCGTTAACGCCGTTTCCACGATAACGAAGATCATGATTAAGGAGCGGCTCATTAATTTTTCTTTCATTAGATCCTGTTACGTAAGCGAATTTCACGAATGAAACGATAGCGCGATCTACCGGAAGAAAAATGTTCATTATCCTTAACTTAGCAGCGTAACCGGCGAGATTCGGTGGAAACTTTTCACATTTCTTTATAACGAAATTCATTTTGCAAGCTGAAATTTCGTCGTAAACTATTCCTCTTACACAACATTGTAAAAACAGCTGCTATCAGCAGGCGGTAGAAGTCTCGCCTTCGTTCCGACGAGCGTGTATATAAAATAAAATAGAATTGGCCAGTAAAACGACCGTAAACTTGTATTCAGTGCCCTCTGAATTCGCATCGTGATTCCCGAATGGTATCATAATAAAATGGAAATGCTTCACTCGCGACAGCTAACCGGTTAAAAAGAGAAATCTAAGTGAAAGATGAAACTTCTTATAATCTACCACATTTATTCTTTCCTCGCACAACGCTGCTATACGATACAAATTCTATTCTAACGGAGAACAGAGAAGTTCGCCGTTGGTGATAAGAACGGCAAATTTAACAGCTTCTCGGTTCCGAAAACGTCATAATAATTCACGGTATTTCTAGCGATTACGAATAGAACAGAGCGTTCCTCCTGCGAGGTGTTGCAATGAAACTCGTAAAAACGGTTGACGGCATTAATCATCGTGCAACTACGCGACTGATTCTCCGCACCGTGGACGTGTCTCAACATTTCCTCGGCAGCTCGGTAAGCTACTTGACGGGAAACATTATTTACAGGTATTGCGTACCTACTTCCTAATACTCGCAGCCGTTCCGTTGCTACAGTATTGCCATTAATCTCGCTCCCACTGCCGGTAAAGGCAACTTTCTGTAAATCTGATGTCGCGCGTTGTCATCTGTAACGCTTACGACAATTCCGACAAGCTTTCAATAAATACGGTGCGTCGCGGAGTACGTCATTGGCAGTCTAATTACATTACGCACTGATACACGTGAAAGGAGCCTAACGAAATACGTTTTAAAAATCAAAGCACGATGAAATTAATTTGATTGTTATCTATATTCGATCTGTAAAACATTGACCATCAATTAAATCTATTTATCGTCAATGCCAAATACTCAATACTTAACTAAGTATTTTTATATTAATTAAGTAAGTTATTAGTTGATATAATTATGTAGATTGTGTAATTATATATATATATATATATATATATATATATATAATTATGTAAACGGTATAATTATTTCTATAATTATGTAAACTGCGTAATTATATCTATAATTATGTGAACTACGTAATTATATGTACAATTATGTAAATATACGTTGACGATTGAAAATACACATGTTTTATATGTAAAATCTAGTCTGCACTTACCCCATTTCACCTGAATTAAATCAGACTTATTACTTCGTAGACACGCCTACATATTCTGGATGCAGGTGTCTCGATGCGTCACGCATCGGCCATGATAAAGTGTTCTGCGCGAAGAAATTAGTGGCCTGCATTCATTGTCACTCTTTGTTTCCGTCGTGTCAGGGGCGAATGAAAAATTGCAAGCCGCCTTCGTACGACGCGCGACGTTGACGACGACTGTACGAACGAGTTCGAGTCAGTCGAGGGGAGCGCGAATGAATTTACATCGGCAACACATACCAACCGTATCTGTATCGAATTCCAATATTCGAATGTCGGACGATCGCGCACGAGAGACACCCCTATCCCCGCCTATTACATATTCGAAATGCCAACGAAGTTTTACCGGACTGCCATTTTCACTCCTGAACGCCCGCAATCTTCTCCACTTTGTTCCGCGAGCCGAGCAATTTCGTTCGAAATTTTCAATCGCTTTATCTGGTATTGCTTCACCGCAATATACGGTGCTCTCAAAGACGGATTTCGGTAGGATACAATTCACAAGGCCCTCCGGGGAGCTGTGAAATCAATCTGGGATATTATATATCGTGGATATTGAAAAAAATTTTTTTGGATCATATGGATCATTTTTTGTTTGGTTTCTGTCAACAGATCGGTGTCTGGAAATCCTGGGAGAAAGAAGGTCTTGACATCAAGGACATCGTCTGGCCCGGAAACACTCATACACCTCCTCAAGGAGTTCCGGAAAAGTTCAATTTAAAAATAACCTTCCTGGAGGAGCCGCCGTACATCAATCTAGCACCGCCAGACCCTGTCACTGGAAAATGTTTGGTAGATCGTGGTGTCCACTGTCAAATAGCCAAGGCATCCGATCTTATCGAGTAAGTAGACAAATCTTTATTTTTTCGTTCTCCGTTTCTTGTTAAGGTTTCAACATGTTGATATTCTACAGGTTGTCTTGTTTAAGCGAGTACAGCAGGATATCTCAAAAGTTATAGTTATTAAAAAAAAAAACATTCCTACCAAAGCTGTTTAGTAAAGATGTATCATATTAAATACTCTTTGAACCTTCTTGCATTTTCCAGATGTTAACCTTTGGTACACCGAATACGTTAACATGAAAATTTATTTTTGGAAAAATAATTCCGTCACCTATACAGGGTGAACAAAATAACTTGATAACTTGATGAATATTTTACTTGTTTTTGATAATATGCAAAGAAGTCGGAGTAAAACACTTTTATCTTGAAAAGATAGATATTGTAATAGAAAGAATTCATGGTATTATAGGTTAATGGATAGGTCTTAACCCCAGCTATTACGTTATAACGACAAAAATATATAATCTCGTTTAAGAAAACATCGATGGAATTAATGTCGTGATTTTGGAATTTGCACCTTCAAATCAAACCATGTTTCCATTTGATACATTTCCATACTATACAAATCAAGTTATATCGTTTATCCGATAAATATATGTGATTTTTGCCATGCTCCACTTCAGGTGATGTTAATGATGCATATTTAAATTCATTCGAGCAGCGTTGCTACACACGCGTCTGACTAATTCTAATTTTCGATCGTAGTTTACACTTTTATTGCATGGTTGACACAATAAATACTTCCTTCGTTATTTTCATGAATGACGAAATTGGGATAGACTTGGGATAGAGCAAATATTTCCTACGCCCACATATGTATGCGTGACACGGCAGTCATAGCGTTAAAGGACCGAATAAACTACCTCCATTTTATCGAATGTTCGCGGTCGTCGAGCCAGCACGACGACGGCGCGGTCAACGTGTTGAAATGGATCGAGACATTCTGACCATCCTATATTTCACACGACGGACAGCGCACCGTCGTGTTTGCGTGTCAGGTAGTCGGTAATTCATTTGCTGGCTACGCGGTAACAGCGTTAGTCCGGCTGGTTGGACGTTTAACTGATTTCGTCAAGAATGAACGACGTCAATTTCATCCGAAGTTGCGATCGCGGCACGTTCTCCGAGGGTGCGGGAGAAGGAAGGAAAGAAGGGGGCGAGCTCTGAAGGGTGACTCAACCCTGTGACGTGATTTTGATAGAAATTTGGTAGATAAAACGATGATATTCTTTTTACGTTAAAGCTTAAATATTACAGAATAAAGGAAGAGTAGAGACGATACGATCCAACTGTACACGGTGTTGGATAAATCACAATTTGAAATATTTCAAGTTCGACATAAATTTTCAAGGTTAAAAAATATTCACGCTACATTCTTTCTAAAAGGATAGTTGCTTTATCTCGATTCTATAAAAAGTTCTTTGATTGTGTCACAACTTTGTTGCTTCGCCCCACTGTGCGTCGCCAAGGAAAGAAACAGATGGGGAAAGACGGGAAACGGTTGGCAGGTGGGCGAGATCTCGCCTCGATGAAGCAGCGGCCTGGAAAGAATAACGTATAATAGCTGGGACTCGCACGCTGCTGTCCGAAATTGAATTCTCCTCGTGGAATTCCGCGACGGAAACTATGAACTAGCGCCTTGTAGGTAAATTATGCTCGCGGCGCGGCGGCGATGCGGTACCCTAACTCGGTTCCGCACATCCATTTACGTGCTTCCGTTTTCACTGTCTCGAGCTGCGAGCCCGGAAAACTCTGATTAGCGGTAACGGCCCTCCGCAGCAGATCATGGCTACGCTCCGCGAATATGTAACGCGGATGAGTCGAAATTCGCCGTCGCTGTTGGACTTCGCGAGTCTCTGGTCACGCGCCGCCTTCGCCAGCTGCCTCCCTTGGACGAAAATCGTATTAGGATGATGCCGTGGATGCCTCGCGGAATAATTCTCGAGCCCAACTTTACGAGAAGTTGCCGGCGAAGTGGTCCGGAACAGACCTGGGTAAAAATATTTGAAGAACTATTGGAAATAGTTAATGAAACACTCTTGTTTGTACGAAATAATATGTCAATTATATCAGAGGACGCCCGATAAATGTAGACGAATAGCGTTGCCCTGGCACGAGACGGATTTTTTTAACGGCGGCTTCCGAGGTTCCCAAACTCTGGTCATCCGAATCGCAAAACTTCATACTTGCTACCAGCCCGCCAAACGGTCGTATGCAAAATAGTTGCGCAATTAGCCACGCCCAATTTCCCTGAAATTTTGCACGTTAGTTGCTCTCCATGGCTATGTTTGCAAGGATCGAGTCTAGAGAAAGAGTAAATCGAAACACGGATTGTACAAAGTTTACCAAGACTGTGCAACTTTTGAAAACGGATGTGCAGTAGAAACTCGGTTATCCGAACTGATCAAGGAAACATGGGAATTGGGATAATGGAAAAGTTACTTGGTTATAGTGCTAGATTCTTCTTTACCGGCTTTCGCGCAATACATGCGGTAGAACTCTACTTGTCTGAACTCCATTTATTGGAACGTAATTATTGACAATGCGCGATGTAGCAAACTTCTACCGAACTCCTATTATCTGAACTACTGTCGAGCGTTACTCCATTTATGTGAACACCTATTGTTATTGGTAGAATTTGTTGTGGATTAGGAAAACTCGAGCGGACATGTAGCGGCCCATAAAAGCGTTCGTACAACTTTTCAAACAACTTTTAATTTTGCTATTACTTGGTACGAAAGAAAAATAAAAAACTGTCGTTTCTTTTTACCTTTTTATCGATCGAGCTCGCCTCTCATTGGACAGTTTTTCATTTTTTCGTTGAGAATTCGTAAGTAAATCCGCGGATCGCATTTGCGCCAAGGAAGAAGTTGTTTCCAATGATTTCGGGCACCCCTCATTTCCCGTTCCATCGTTATTTTACGTCTGCGTTACATGAAAACAAGACTAAATGCGAAGAGAAGGTTGATAAATCTACGTGCAATCTTATTTATACGTTACTCCGATATTCTCCTTCCATATTAAATTACCAAGAGAATTTGATCAAATACCGAACAATTTTACGCGACACATTCCCAACGAGAACACAGTCACAGTCTCAGTCTCTCCGTCTTCGGTTGAAAACACGATTAGCGACAAACGGGCAAATTACTTGAACGACGCGAATAGTAGGACCAGATGGAATCCAATTGGCGAAGTTGTCGATATAGACAAAGAATCAGCTGCAACGGGGAACGTGCTGCTCGGATTAATTAGAAACTCGAAAGATCGTAAACATCGACGACTAAAACAGTGACGCTCGAGTAATTGCCTAACAACGGTAGGTCTGCAGAAATTGAAATTCCTCCGGGTAAGAATGTGCTTTGCCTGCGTGACGATAAGATTCATGGTAAGGATTGAAAGCGAATCAATTTTCTACCAGTCGCATACGACGAATATTCTCTTTTTCGGTCACCCCACTAATTATCGTGACATTATCGATTGTCAAACCATTGCTCGGATTAACTAAAACACATTCGATAAATTATAAATATTTACGTCGGACGAACGATTAACAAATGTCTATGAACAAGCCAATAATCGCAGACGCGTCTATGTTAGACCAGACTTCTGTAAGCGAAGGAAAGTTAATGACCTGAAACTTGCTAGATTGCACCACGTGATGGTGACATCTTAATTTATATTCAAATTGAAATGAGATTGCATCGCCGTTCTAAATGTATTCTTCATTTTCAAATTTTTTCACGTCTGGTTCTCATTTAATCCTCGCACTGATTGTACCGGGATCCACCCCCACCTCCACCCCCACCCCCCTCCAATGCCCATTCACAAGAAAATAGCACAGCCGTAGAATGTTTTTTCTCCTTTGACGTGCAATTTTGCCCTTGTCATCAGATCTGGAAAGAGGATCGCACCATTCCGCGAGGAGGACAGACAATTATAGAAAGTGGAAAGGTGGTGGAAAATTCGCAGCCGTTGCAGAGATTACTTCGGTCATGCTGTAATTAAAAATTCCGCTTGTCTAGGCCAGTATACCTTTACAAGATCGTGCAAAGACGAAGAAAAATGGCCGCGCCGCGCCGCACCGTGCTGCGGAAAATTGAGACTTTGTTTGAACGCGAATTGCCAAGTTGGCTATTATAAAGAGAGCGATGGAATCGCGCCCCAAAGCCGTAATTGAAAATGTTACAATAGAGGCAACCGGAAGCTTGGAAATTGCTCAAGTTGTACTATATTACGAATTTGCTGTAACTTTAACCCACATTCGATTCGAAAGCGATTTCCACGATCGTAAATTCCCGTTGTAAGTACGTTCTCCAACGAATTTGTCATGGTGCCTCAGAGTCACCACTCCAGTGCAAAGGTTTAAAAGTGAACACACATCGACGCATCGACCAATCTTCCTTGAAAGGTCTGTAGGAATGTGTACACGTTGAAGCGTTCCGATCCGAGTGGTTACTTCTGAAAATTCAGTCCGAATTAGATGGGACCGCGGGAAAGGCACGAACGCGATGAAAAATTTGCCATTGACGAAAGATAAACGAGGCGATCAACCAACGGAAAAAGCGGTCGGAGATCTATGATCCGGTACTTAGATCCTGGCATTCGTTTCCGCGACACGTTCCCGCCGTCCCTCCATCTCGAGGATTAGCATGAGCTAGAAATTGTCGGGGATAATCGGACGGTGGTGCCGCGAATTCAAGCTTCGCTCTGTGTAAACGGTGTATAGTCCTCTCAGCGGCACTCTCGCGCGCGTATAGAGTTCACAGATTATGCGGACGCGAACACCGTGGCCAGGATTAAAACCTTACCGGAACCACTCGTCGCTATGGAAATGAACGTAATGCCGGGCAATGATATTGGCACTCGACTTACTCGTTTTCCGCAAAGTTTCCGACGAATGTCTATTAAGGACGTAGGTGAGAAGCGAACGAATAATGCGAATTAACTCGTCGTCTCTGGATAATAGTTTTAAATTTTCTCCTCCGCTGCGACTGGAA